AATTTAAAAATATATATAAATAAATTTTTGGGTTAAAGGGAACAAAAAAGAAAAAAAGAGAAGAAAGGGACTGTATTTTTCTATTCCCCTCCATTTCTTTTCTTTTTTTTTATCTTCTTAAGATCAATAAATAAATTTTAAAAAATATATAATAAAGGAAATTCTTCTCATTCTTTCTCCTCTAATTCTTTTGATAACCAACAAAAACTTAAATTTATAAAATTGTTTTAGTTAGTAAAAATAAATTTAAAACTTCCCCCATGCTCTAAAACTTTAGGGGTTCGGTGACGGCAGGATCTCTGCTTCGGGTCCCTCTTCGATTGTGGAGTCATCTTCCCTTCTCTTCCCTATTGTTTCCCGACGTCTCCCTTTCCTTGCACATATACCGGATTCCCCTTCCTCAGGTTTTCTCTTTTACTCTGTTTGCAATGCTCTAAAATAGGGGCACGAGAGCAACTTGGATCCAAAAGGCTGCAGATCAGGTCCTGGGTGACGATTTACTCTCCTTTCTGCCGGTGGTTGTGGGTGTCAATACGAATGGCAGATGAAGAAATTGGGTCTATGCTTAATCGGGTCCGTCTTTCAGAAGATGAGAACGGTATCCTTCCCTTGCACTCAATCTGGTAACTCGATGAACCCAAGGTCGAAAAACTGAGATTAATGGGGAAGATCCTATCCCGCAAAAAGATCAATATGAATGGGTTGCATGATGCGTTGATGGTTTCTTGGAACCCTAGGAAGCCTTTTACAATTTCTGAGATTAGCGAAAAAATTTATCTGTTTCAATTTACTGAGATTGGGATCTCAACAAGGCTCTACATAGAGGACCTTGGAACTTCAGCAATTCACTACTTATTTTTAAACGTTTTCAAGCCTCTTTAACAGTGGAGCAGTATAATTTTTCTACAAATCCTTTTTGGGTGCGAATCTTTGGTGTCCCTATTGGTATGCAGTAAGAGCAAATTGGATTCACAATTGCGAACTGTTTGGGGAACGTACTGGAATTTGACGACAGTGTTCACAAGGCAATCAGAGTTAGAATTGATTTGGATGTAAATCAGCCCTTAATAAGATTTAAAACTTCTCAAATCTCTGCTACGGAGCGCAACAAACTTCAGATCAAATACGAATGACTTCCGGAGTTCTGTTTTGTTTGTGGTTGTGTAGGCCACCTAGACAATAGCTGTGAAATAGCCAACGGTATCAAAGATGGGGGGTAAAATTGTTCTCATGGTTGAAGGCTGAATTGGAACACTCATGGTGCCCAGATGATCTTGATCTTTTGGATGAAACCTTTATTGCAACTACACAGTCTCTAGCCGGTGATATGATTGCAGGAAACCAGGAGCATTATGAGACTATAGCTAATGTTGCAAGCCAGGTAGAAGGACATAATGATCATGCTGCTGGGGATCTGGAGGCAAATAATAACGTGACCAACAATGCAAGCCAAATGGAAGGGCACAATGCTATTGGTGTGGGAGAAATTGCATATGAAACAGTTCAGCCCCTTCCTACTACTGTAAGAGAAATGGCTTCGGCAGGGAATATGGAACATGTTGATGGTTTGCCAGGTTTGATGAGTGACCGATTAGTGGAGATCCCCTTAGCCCTTGGTTTAGATGCTATTGAATAGTTACCAAGGCACGAAAATGGAGCAAAAGGAGGTAGGGGCAAATGGAAACGAATCGAGTATGAGGTGGGGTCCTCGGTGCATATGGAAAAACTTACTCAAGGAAAAAGAAAGGGTAATACAGCAAGTTTGGGGAACAAAAGGCTAATAAGGTGCTATTAAATAATACATGGGTGGCTATGATTCCTGGGGACGTAGATGGCACTACTTTGACCATGCAGTTGGATAATTTTCATCCATTTGCGGGGCAAATATCAATTATGGATGGTCAGAGCATTGTAGTGCCGGGAGGCATTACATCGCCAAGTTTACTGATTTCCCATACTGATTTGGGTGGTTTAATAGATGTGATTGCCAGTACCGTCAATAAGCTCCGATGCGTTCTTTCTATGTTTTTGCATAGGTGTGTTGTTATCCCTATAACATATACTAATATTTAAAGGTTTTTAGTTATTAATTGTCACTATTTGTGTGAAACATTTAACTTTATATGTTAGTGTTATAAGTCCATTTTAATCTTTTTCTTGCTCAACTTGTCATTTTTCTTGCTTAACTTATATGACAAGGTATAGTTTACATTATAATTGTGTTTCAATTATTAATACAATTATATTCTTTTATAAAAAAAAAAAAAATCTTTTGATAACCAAATGAAGGAACCTTTTTCTCTCCTCTTTATTCCCTTCAACTCAAACAATAAATTTAAAGTTATTTCATTTAATTTTTGACCTATCAATTTTACTTAAAACATTTTTATTGCAAATTGATTTTTTTTTTCTAGAAGTGAAATAATACTTCAAATTTGCAAATGAAAAAATAGTATGAAATGAATTTAGCAGGTATTTTTATGGTAATGGTAGAAGATTTTATTGCCAAAAACTTTTAACAAGCAATTAATTATAGAAAAAATATCTTGACATGATATTGGTAAAGAAAAATCGTTGTAAAAAATTATTGGCAACAATATCACTGGGCCAGATACCCTATCACACCAGTATCCACCTCAAATTCCAGACCACCTTCCTCTTTGCGGGAAGTTTTCTAGGGATGGACTTCCTCCACAAATGGATGTTTAATTTGCATTCCTTACATTTTTTTTTCACTTTTAAAATTATATATTAAACTTCATTACTTAATGAAGGTACTTGTATTGTATGAGTGAAAGTTGCTCCTGTAAAAAATGTTTGTGCAATTTAGATTCGGTTAAATTGCAATAAATTAACCTTTAAATGAGGGTGAATTTATTAATATTAAGAGTTATTTTCTATTTGAAGATGGTAAAAAAATACTTTCTCTTGTCTCATACAATAAATTTAAAGTTATTTTATTTGATTTTTTATTTATTAATTTCATTTGAAATATTTTTATTGTAAGTTAAATTTATTTTTAAAAATTAAATAATACCTCAAATTTGCAAATAAAAACATATTAAGAAATAAATTTAGCAGGTATTTGTATGATAACGGTGGGGAAGATTTAATTGCCAAAACTTTTAATAGATACTTAATTATTAAAAAAATATATATCTTGACATAATATTGATAAAGAAAAACGTTGCCAAAAATTATTGGCAACTGAAAAAAGTCACCGGGTAAGGTACCCTGTCCCATCGGCGCTCACCCCAATCTGTAGGCCACCTTCCTCTTTGCGGGGAAGTTTTCTAGGAATGGACTTCCTCCACAAATGGATGTTGAATTTATGTTTCTTACTTCTTTTTTTTTCAATTTTTGAATTATATATTAAATTTCATTACTTAATGATGGTATTTGTGCTGTATGAGTGCCAATTTTTTTTGTTAAAAATAATTGTGCAATTTACACTCTGTTATATTATATAAATTTAATTTTTAGATGAAAATGAATATATTGATATAAAATGTTATTTTTTATTCAAAATTAGATTAAAAAAACACTTGTACTCTTTTATTAATATAATTTTTTTTTACCCATCAAAATACGAAAATGGGACACACCGGCGTTCCTTTAAACGAAGGACAACTTTGAGGGTTAGAAAATTAAATTTAAGGAACATTTCATGCCAAAAAAATTGAGGGACCTAAAGTAGAAAATATTGATAAGTGGAAAGACCAAGCACATTAAACCTTTTTACAATTTTGAGTACCGCAGGGACTCAAATCTTTAAATTGGTGCTTCCCCTCTGCTGTTTTCCCTCCCTGCGTTTTGATTCGGCAATCGGAGACGTCAACAGACGAGTTTTTGGTGAAAAAAAGTACAAAATATTGATAAGTGGAAAGATCAAGTACGTTAAACCTTTTTACAATTTTGAGTACCGCAGGGACTCAACTCTT